CATTCTTGTTCCCGACAAGTTTGAGGCAACTGCAGAGTGGTATTTGAACTTCCATCCTCTAGAGACCACAAAACACCCCGAGTTGGATGCATTTGTGGCAAAATTAGAGTGTAGAGGGGAAGTCCACATTCCGGTGGAGAGGAAGAGAAAAGCCCGGAATGTCCCTTCACCAACAAGAGATAATTCTGAAGAGCGTAATGAGCACATCTCCTCTCCCCAAGAATCTCAGAGGAGTCAGAGCCTTAGGGAATCTCCTTCTAGAGTCTCCCATTCCAACATCCCAAATCCATCGTCTCCTAACCCTCACCCCGCCAAGCCTTCATCCAATACCTTTCAAGAACTCTTTGATCGAATGTCAAAGAAAATTGATAACATTGCAGAAGAACAAAGAAAGAGGTTTGAAGTGCTTGAAAAAAAAGTTGATGCTTTGTCAACTTTAATAAATCAAAAGATTGTGAATAAGGTATGATGAAAGCTTTTTAAAGTCATCCAATAATTTTAATTGATCAGAACTGATCTATTCTTATGTAAAAATATGAAGGTGAATGTAACTGAATCAGGAGAAGAACCAACCAAGAATCCGCAGGAGGTACGTCGAATACCGTCGAATACATCGAATGTATACGAAATGTTCGAATACCTCGAATGTATACGAAATGTTCGAATACCTCGAATGCAGTCGAAACGTTTTGTTCAGTTTTAAATTTGTAAGATCTGTTAACGTTCAGGTGCCAGAGACGACAATCATGGGTGATTGTGAGGAGACTGAGGCACGAAATCCTTCCCCTGACCATAAGGTTTGGGGTTTAATAGAGTTATTTCATTTTGTTTGCATATGTTAAATGAAATAATAATATCATTTCATTCTTCTTTCTCATCATTTTCATACTTCATACTCTATAGGTTTCTCCAAGACTTGGTATTCTCCAAATTATTGGGGAAATTAAACAAGAGCACGAGAATCAACCTTCAACTCTTTCTGATTCTGTTCTTAGTTTAGAGAACAGAAAGGTAAAGTTCTAATCTTAACTTACAATGCATTGTCCTTTCGAAAATAGATTCATATTTTTTGTTCTTGTTTGCAGGCTGAGTCTACCCACGAGACAATGGGAACAGAAGATGCTACCTCAATGAAGCCACTGCAGGAAATGGTAAAATAATAAATCTTACTACAAGTGCCTTCGAAATATAGTCATAGTGTTCAAATGTATTCGAATTTTTTGCAGGTTGAGTCTTGCCATGAGGTAATGGAAACAGACGATGCTGCTGCTTCTATGAAACCTCTACAGCCTGAGTCTACCCACGAGACAATGGGAATAGAAGATGCTACCTCAATGAAGCCTCTGCAGGAAATGGTAAAATTAAAAATCTTCCTACAAGTGCCTTCGAAATATAGTCGAAGTTTTCAAATGTATTCGAATTCTCTCTAGGTTGAGCCTAGCCATGAGGTCATGGAAACAGACGCTGCTGCTTCTATGAAAACTCTGTAGGACAAGGTAAATTCTGGATTCATTGCATTTGAAATGCAGTCAAGTTCTTCGAAGTATTTAGAGCATGTTTATTTACACTCTATTTAACTGTAGGTTGTTTCTCCCCCGAAGGAATTGGGAGAAGAGGCTGAAATCACTGATGGCATTGTGTATGGAAAGGTTTGGTTTCTTACTTCAAGTGCTTTCGTATTGTGGTCTAAGATTTCGAAATAATTCACATATTTTTTTTATTTTAGAGAGTGAAAAAGAAGTCAGCCAGTTTGAAGTCTCCTTATACAGCGGACGGGAGGAAGAAAAAGAAAGCCGATGAGCTCTTATCTAAGCCGCCAACTAAAGCAGATCTTTTGGAATTTAAGAGCTTCATCGTAAAAGCAATTAAAGATGACCGCCCTGTACAATGCTACCTCGCCCAGTACAAGGAGATTCAAGATTTTGTGAAAATGTTCTGGACTGACCTTATCACTCCAGGTTTTTGGGTAGCGGATACTGTAAGTTGCATTAACCTTTCATTCTTCGTACACAAACAATGCTTATATCTTTCGTTTTCTAATAACATATTACTTTTGTTTGTTAACTAGAATCTGAGTGAGTACCTTTACGTCCTGAGAAGACGTTTATGCAATGACGATGGAGACTCATGCATTGCGCCTTTTGAATTCAACAATTACGTGAACTCTTATGCGCATGACCCAGAATGGCCTGTTTTGTCTGGATCCCTTGAAAAGATTGTGGATGGTACATACAGCGAGGGGCCGGAAGCATTTAAAACCAAAGCCTGGAAAAAGAACACTAAGTACGTATATTATTTGAAAGGCACGAGTTCACATTGGTTCTGTATCAAGGCTGACTTTGAGAGGTGCCGCCTCGTCGTGCTTGACTCCCTTAAGAGGATAACTTCGATTGAGACGATGGCTAGTTTGCTGATAGATGATCTTAGAGGGTTTAAAGGCATTGCTGGAATTAGAGAAATCGGCAAGCACGGATATGCCGATTGGGAAAGCGAATACTGCACAGTACCCCAACAGATTGATTGTGACTACGGCATCTTCGCGGTAAAAATGTTAGAGTTGGGAGCACAACATCAGGATTTTAAATCTTTGGAGAATATGACAAAAGAAAAGATGGCCAACATGCGTTTAGAAATTGCTTACTACATATGCAAGGAATACCATTGTAGAAACAAAAAATAAATTCTGTGGTGGATAAATATATTATTAATAAAATTATGGTGGATGCATATAATTTCATGGAATAGCATATATTATTAACAGTATTATTAATTATGTGGTGGATACATATGATTGCATGGAATTGCATGGAGTTGCATGTAAACACGAGTAACTAATATTACGGGATTACATTCTAAAACTTGTTCACATAAAATTACATAAAAATCAATAATTTCATGAAATTAGCTCGGATCGATCTTTGAGTAAATGAGATGTAATTTCGTTCAATTAATAATAATGATGATGATGATAATGATAATAATAATAATAGAGAGGGCCGTTGAGATCAAGAAATATCCAAAATGAATAACTTCGACTGTCCCGACTAATATTTGACCACATTTCGGATGGACTTTTCACAGTAATTAGTTAAAAATTAAAATGGAAGAAGATATGTGTGGGCGGTTTGCATTCAATTCGGGTAGATAAAGAGCGGTCAAATCAGCTTTTATTACTCTCGTTAATTTCTAAGAGCTCAGTAAGTTAAATGAGATGTAATTTCGTTCATTAATAATAATGATGATGATGATGATGATGATGATGATAATGATAATGATGATAATAATAATAGAGAGGGGCGTTGAGATCAAGAAATATCCAAAATGAATAACTTCGACTGTCCCGACTAATATTTGACCACATTTCGGATGGACTTTTCACAGTAGTTAGTTAAAAATTAAAATGGAAGAAGATATGTGTGGGCGGTTTGCATTCAATTCGAGTAGATAAAGAGCGGTCAAATCAGCTTTTATTACTCTCGTTAATTTCTAGAAGCTCAGGAAGTTAAATGAGATGTAATTTCGTTCATTAATAATGATGATGATGATGATAATGATAATGATGATAATAATAATAATAGAGAGGGGCGTTGAGATCAAGAAATATCCAAAATGAATAACTTCGACTGTCCCGACTAATATTTGACCACATTTCGGATGGACTCTGCACAGTAATTAGTTAAAAATTAAAATGGAAGAAGATATGTGTGAGCGGTTTGCATTCAATTCGGGTAGATAAAGAGCGGTCAAATCAGCTTTTATTACTCTCGTTAATTTCTAAGAGCTCAGGAAGTTAAATGAGATGTAATTTCGTTCATTAATAATGATGATGATGATAATGATAATGATGATGATAATAATAATAATAGAGAGGGGCGTTGAGATCAAGAAATATCCAAAATGAATAACTTCGACTGTCCCGACTAATATTTGACCACATTTCGGATGGACTTTTCACAGTAATTAGTTAAAAAGTAAAATGGAAGAAGATATGTGTGAGCGGTTTGCATTCAATTCGGGTAGATAAAGAGCAGTCAAATCAGCTTTTATTACTCTCGTTAATTTCTAAGAGCTCGGGAAGTTAAATGAGATGTAATTTCGTTCATTAATAATGATGATGATGATGATGATGATAATGATGATGATAATAATAATAATAATAGAGAGGGGCGTTGAGATCAAGAAATATCCAAAATGAATAACTTCGACTGTCCCGACTAATATTTGACTACATTTCGAATGGACTTTTCACAGTAATTAGTTAAAAATTAAAATGGAAGAAGATATTTGTGGGCGGTTTGCATTCAATTCGGGTAGATAAAGAGCGGTCAAATCAGCTTTTATTACTCTCGTTAATTTCTAAGAGCTCAGGAAGTTAAATGAGATGTAATTTCGTTCATTAATAATGATGATGATGATGATAATGATAATGATGATAATAATAATAATAATAGAGAGGGGCGTTGAGATCAAGAAATATCCAAAATGAATAACTTCGACTATCCCGACTAATATTTGACCACATTTCGGATGGACTCTACACACTAATTAGTTAAAAATTAAAATGGAAGATGATATGTGTGAGCGGTTTGCATTCAATTCGGGTAGATAAAGAGCGGTCAAATCAGCTTTTATTACTCTCGTTAATTTCTAAGAGTTCAGGAAGTTAAATGAGATGTAATTTCGTTCATTAATAATGATGATGATGATGATAATGATAATGATGATAATAATAATAATAGAGAGGGCCGTTGAGATCAACAAATATCCAAAATGAATAACTTCGACTGTCCCGACAAATATTTGACCACATTTCGGATGGACTTTATTACCCTTATTAGATGGATCACATGATTGCATGGAATTGAATGGAGTTGCATGTAAAGACGAATAACTAAAATTACATAAAATTCAATAATTCCATGAAATTAGCTCGGATCGATATTTGAGTAGTTTCTTTTTTATCTCTTCAATATTTCGGTCTCTACACAAGCTGCTACACTGCTAGCAGGAATTACGTACTCTTCGTTTGAATCAATGTTGCAGTAGTAAAGATGGGTTTTACCAGAATCCCAATCATCATGTGATTGCATGGAATTGCATGGAGTTGCTTCCCTAGAACATGACAATAATGTGCAGTGGAGTGGAGTGGAGAATGGTTGATTCTGTGTTGTTTCCTTGTGGAAAACACGAGATAATGCAGAAGATGCCGTGGAGCATCTTCTACAGTAATGGATAAAACGGATAATGGTATACGAGATAACCATTATGACCGTTTTGCCTTATCGAGATAACCATTAGGACCGTTTTACAAAATTGAGTAAAACCATTACGAAAGAGAGGTGAGAAGTTTTGATGATTGTAAAGAAATAGGCTTGTAAAATATGGAATACATTGAA